TATATATATATATATAGCGATAGATATATATGTATGAATGTATGTATTAGATAAAGTCAAAGTCAGAGATAAAGATTGCACCTTCTCCCGCATCCGTGTGCTCCATGCATCATTTCTGCTTGGACGCTGGTCAATAGTCCCAGCAACTGGTAACCCTGTTACTGGGGCTGGTGCTGGTCTGTTGAGCAATGGCTGCCTCGGATTAGTGAACTCCTCATCACTATCATAATTTGCTGGCTTATTTACAGCCCTAACAATAAGGGCTAACAAGAAAAGTAGAGCCTGCAATTTCATACACATTCCTTTAGATAACACAAAATTCCTACCCAACTTTCTGTCGCGCAAACATTAACAACGGGCACATTGCCCCACACACATGTATAAAGCTTTCATTACTATGGACCCCTCCCTTTCCTTCTAGTGGTATGTAAATGGGGATTCGATAAGATATTCAATCAGGTACTCAAGTACATTTGGAAAGTAAAACTAATATTATATATCTATACAAACAATGTATGGTTTCTCACAGGCACACTGTTTAAAAAATAACTTTACAGAGAACTAGGAAGCCTCAAAGGAAGAGGAAGGAGGCTTCAGCTAACTTAGAGCCAACTCTTCAGGAATATAGGCAATATTTTATAGGTTTGTTGTTGGGCTTTTTGTAATTATTTTTATGTTTGTATAATTAGGCCTTTATATGATTTACAAATTTGTTAGCTGACTTATTAGATAGCTTTTTGGACCATAGACTATTTAGTTAGATGAACCTAGTAGTCTTAAGTTCATAACATAAGTCGTCAATTGTTGACTCGTGTAAGAAGTTTTTAACTCATTTGTGAACAAAGTTTTACAACTGTGAGAAAAATTCTCTGTCGTTTTAAGAACACCACTTAATTCTTATCTTTGAATTTTCTAATTCCAAGGGATGAGTTTTCCTCAACTAATCGATCACTATGGATAACAACATTGATCTCCATTTCTAGATTTCATTCCGTTTTTTAAACTTTTCTTTTTCTACATTTTTCTTGAAATTTCATCATAAAATATAACGTGAGATGCTGAATTTGATTCATCAAATGGGCTTTACATGATGGATCATATTCAACATCTCACATTCAGCATCTTCATCAAGAGTTAAATTATTCTCCATTGATTATGGGCCCAATCTAAATAAAATCCTGTATAAAATGGATGGCTTGGAATCCTAGAAACAATTATCTGCCTCCCGTGGGTACAGGCATAAAGAAAAAAGACTGCAAAATAATACGGCTTTCTTTCAAATGCCAATCATACAACTTCTTGCTTACCTCAAAGATAACAATTCCAAGAGCAACCCATCTCACAATATTCCAATTCTCACTCAGAAATTCATATATCGCATCAAAATCTCCAGTTTTGTCTGTTGGAATTTCCTGAATGAAATATAATTATAAATGACAAATACAATTTTAACATCTGTCACAAATTACCAGACTATTTACTTACTTCTTTCCAGCTTTTGTCGAAGAATATAAAGGCTGCACATCCCAGCTCTACCAAGATCAATAATACCACCAGAATTGAATACTGTGTTGACTTAAGAAACTCAATAACAGATCCTTAAATAAGCACAGATCAATTCATGTAACCGTACATATACACCGGGAGAGAAGAGCAGAAACTTAAATTAATGTTTTCTTTGTATGACCGGAAATTTAAGAGAGCATGGAATATTTTTATAATATAGCATGAGACACTGTAAAAGGATACACAGCTCAGGCAGCATCCATTCCGTGTTGCAGCTCCAATACAACCAAAACAAGAAATGAGAAAGAGAACTACTCCAGTACCAATAAATACAAAAATAAACCTGGCAAACATGAAATGAAGAATTAGAGTGAGATTCGTGTTTGTCAACTTCAAAAGTAATTCTGTTGTGTGCGTGTACTAACTGTACTATAAGTTTAAAATGGGACAGTTTCATATATAACTGTAACATCAGTCATGACTTCAGAATGAATAAAAAGTAAAGCATTGGGATCACAAAGCTCTATAAATAAACATATAATAATAATAATGGTTGAAGAAAAACAATGGACAAATACTATATGTGGTATATATTCTATGGCTGATTTTCTTCTTTTCGAACAAAAACAATTAGTGAGTAAAAAGAAACACTACACCTGAAAAATAAATGTTAATTCAAATTCACATTTTGCCGGCCATTCTGGAAAGTTCACAAAGTAGGTTGATCAAAGTTTCTTTCTTAATCAATGGCAAGAATAATCCATGGTGGATCAATCACACCAACAAATGAAGATGCTTAGCCTTAAATTTTACCTTCTTAAACTCTAATTATTTCATAACCACAACTCCGTATTTGATTGACCTAACATTCCAAAAGTTCCACCTTGCAAATCTCACTAAACATGACCAAAATCAAACATAACAATATATAGCAGCACAAACCTAAAACTAGAGGCTGTACACAAGAATATAATTATGAGGTTGATTCTAGCTCCAAAACGCTATTATCTTCATCGTAAAGTACTGAATGCATTCGACCCATAGTTTTTTTAAAGCAACGCAGAATTGTTTCTTAACATGACTATGTATTTCATGCAATACTCAATACTACATTGTTACGAGCCATTAAAGTAAATTTCCACCAAGACGGGGGAAAAAGCTTTTTCAGTATTGATATAACCTACGGAAACTAGATAACAGATAACAAATTGATGCAGCCATAATACAACCAAAAGTAAAACCTTTAGCAAGTCAAGAATCAACATAGTTGGAAATGCCCCAAAATCAAAAAGTGGCAAGAGAGCAGAACTCATACCAAGCACTGGAGAGGTTATCAAAAAAACTGTTGCCAAGAGAGACAGTCATAAGCAAGGGTCGGCCAAGTTGAATCAGAGCAGAATCATCACTGACAGGAGAAGTCGTCAGATTTTCGCCATCTGAAGCTTTAGAGAATAGAACAAAAAGATAGATTCCATAGCCCACTATGGCAAGACCAGTGAGGCTCAATATGAAGTTCAAAAGCTTCAAAAGGCACTCCCAGCATCCCCTACATGCCATCCTCTACCTATAACTGTACTTCAATCCCTCCACCACAGTTCACAAAGTAGACCAATGTCCTATATATATTTTCAGCAGAAGCAGACAGGCACTTCCCTACAGTATCAGGTAAGAAATAAATAAATAAAAACTATCACATAAACTATACCACCTGCAGTTCAATTACAATTTTAAGAGATATGATAGCTCAATTCGTCTGTTTACCATTTACCGTCAAAAACTAATAACAACAAAAGGACATAAAAACATTTCTCAAACAAAAAGAGAAGCCATATCCGCAAATTATACAAATAATAAATGCAAATTTATATCCCTAATTCCTTTTAAATGTTAAAAAAAAAAAAAACAGTGTTGTTGTGTATAACTAACTCACTTGAGCCCTATTCGCAGTAAAGTGTAACTGAGAAAATTAACAAGAGCTTGGGCGATTGCGTAACGAAAACTACACAAATGAGGAGAAGTGAAGAATGAGTCTAATCTGCAGAACTTACAGAATGAATCGACGATTTCGAGTTGCAAATTGCGAAGCGTGGCTTTCCAAATTGAAGTTAAAATGAGACTCAGAGAAGAAAACAGAGAGGAAGACACAGAAAAAGGCGACAAATCACAAATTGCCACACTGGCAAAGGCAGGGTCGTCTACAGCATCCATAAAAGTGTACACGATCTCCACCTTTCATTTTACAGCAGAATAATTAATAAATAGTGGTTAAAAATTATGAACCATTGGATCATTTTGAACTACCAGTCTTTCTTGGTCCTTGTCTGTTACTCAGGATAAAATAAGAATATTAAAAAATTATTTTCTAAAATTAATAAAGCGACAAAATAATTTCTAGAGCTGTTTATTATAATTGCATCAATTATTAAAATTTTAGTGATTAATCAAGTCGATTCACAAAATCAAAGTTTAAATTTTAAATTTTGACTAACTTTAAAATTTTCACAAAGTATGTAAAAATATTTTTTTAGAAAATTTGATTTAAATTAAAATATTAAACCTGACAGGTTGGCGTGGTGGTTAGGTCAATTGAGGAAGTCTGTTAGTTTTCATTTTGTGCGGTCCTGTGACACTGATTCTCATAAATAAATGATATTAGTATGTGACTTGGTGGATTTTAAAAAAACTACAGGGAAATAAAAATTTAAATTTTAAAATTAAGCACATTTTAATTCTAATTTGCATTTAATCCCTTAAAAAAACTTCTAAAAGTGTTTAAGGTATTTCAACTATTGGCTTTTATTTTTCCACAACCACCAAACCGCAAAGTCATTTTAATTGTTAATTTGTATATAAAAATACAGCAGACATTTTATTAATGCATTTCTTAGTTGTACTCATAATTTGCCAAATATGTGTTTATATTTACTTGAAAATTATTTAAAGTTGAGATGATAAATACATTTATGAAATATTTTT